ACCGGTGCCAGGATTGTCTTCAAAGTTCTGATTATGCGAACCACCCGTAGCCGAACGTTCGGTTCAAGTATTTCAAGTCAGCCGAAGTTGCAGGATTGTGGAGCTCTGATAGATGAGCTGAACTTACTGCCTACATGCCGCGTGAGGCTGTGCAGCCAAGATCTTCCTGAATTCAATCAAACACTGAAAATCGGGCCAAACGAAGCCTCTCGGCAAGAGGTCATACCCCCACAAACAAGCTCTGATCGAGCAGGTGCTGGCAAGGAGGACGAGGCCTGCTGTGGCCGAGAGAAGTGTGCCAAGATTCGTCAAGCGAACAGGCTGCCGGAGACCAGAGTTACCACAAGCTGACAAAGCCTTAAAGCCCGGAAGGGGCAGCGAAATCGAACGCGCAAGCCTTAGGTGCCAGGAGGCCCTCGAAGCTGACCTCTCGATCCCAGCGTACTGATGCAGGAACCCCCTAAAAAGATCGGGCCGATGCAAAGATAGAGCTCTCATTGTCTTAATGCCTCACTGTTGCTGAAACAAAGCTTGGAAAGCCTTCTTCGAGGCCACAGCAGAGCCGGACGCTAAGCGGCCGAAGGTCTGCGCCGGTGCCGACGCAGCGCTCTTGGCGAACGAGGATTTGTCAAATGAAAGGCTTCAGAGCGACGTGACTTTAAGATCTGCGAGCTGTGAACAGAAGGGCTCGGGGTTCCGTGGGGACATGTTTGGGGCCAGTGCTTTGGTAGCATTGTGGAGGTTGGGTCCATTGGGCGGCCTTTGGGTTGCTAAATGTGGCGGTTGGGTTTTGTTGGGATTGGATCTTGGCTTCGTCGCTCGCAGTGTCCCAGCTTCTTGGTTCTGTCCAAGCTTTGAGCTGGATGTAGTTGGAAAAGGTGGGGCAAGGAAGCGTGCGCCACGAAAGGTATGCGCTCGGACTCGAACTTGAGGGCACCAGACATGTCCTGCCACCGGGTGTCAACCATGTTTCCTCAGTTCCGTGGCCGCCTATCAAACAGTCTGCCCGTGTCTTTTGCCTCTCCACTCAACTGGATCTGGGGCAGCCTATTGCATCTGTTTCGAGAAGTTCTGTAGCATTTTGCCGATATCGACAGCAGGAGTCGATCGCATCGTGCTCCTCACAGCCTTGAACATAGGTCGCATTTGTAATTCAGTCGCTTCTAGGCTGATCCTTTGCTTGCTCATTATGATGACATTGCATCAAGGGAAAATTGAGGCTCATGGCTCTGAACATAGCTAGACTTGAAGGCTTCATTTGTAGCCGAGCTGGAGGTGTCACGGGGTGTAGGCTTTCGATGACTCGTCTGTCTCGAGAGCGCCGGTCGAGACTTAGAGGTCTGGGGACATGAGGCTTGCGGCCTGCATCTGTCATCTGCTCCAAGATGCAGCCCCTCCCAAGGCTGCGGCAGGGGCTCCGACGCACCGGGGAAGCTGGCTGCCAGCTTAGTGTTGGGCGGTATGGAGCCCGGACATTTGAAAAAAGCCACTTGCTTCGCGGAGTTCCATTTCCATCCAATGTTTGCAAGCCTTGTTTAAGCTTCGGCCCAGGCAAGTTCCCTGAAATTGTAGGCCCTGTTTTCCCGGCTTTTCAAGGTGGCGTTTGGACGACGAGGCTGTGACCGAGGCAGCGGGAGGCGCGGAAGAGATGCAGAATTTGTTCCTTCTTGCTGCTATTAGGATCACCCAAGGCCCAAGGGTCCAAGTTCTCGTTCACGGGGTTGGTACATAAGATCGACCCAACTTCCACTGACAGCAGGGGTCATCATTCATGCGACGATTAGAAAAGTGATGATAAACATGACGAGTGTTTCCATTGGAACAGATTATCGCCACGATTGCAGCAGGTTTGCTTCTCTGATAACTACTGGACGGCGATGTTCTATTGGTGCACTCTACCTTAACAAAACCGGGGTTCTGCATTTCTTGATGCCAGTTGGAAGAATGTCGAGGGGAGGCCTTAGAATAATTGGGCGGTGAAAGAGTAGCAGATCTTCGCTTCACGTCAATCACAAGGCACTCCACCTCCCGAACTCATGTACAGTCGTGCGCCGCACTATGGCCTCTGCTGCCATGACTGGTTTGAAGGAGATCTGTCTTCAGACCGCCCCATGACTGCTCTGCTCACTTGTGAAAGTGGATTTGTGTTTGCTGCCGGCAGGCACAGTGGAAGAGGCAGCGAGTTGGGTGCTGGCTCCCTCCCCACTCCTTTTGTTTTTTGTTTTACTGTGCTCTCTTTCTCTTTCTCTCTCTCTCTCTCTCCCCTGTCTCTGTCTATCTCTATCTCGCTCTGTCTTTCTCTGCCCCTCTCTACCCATGAAGCTAACTACCGAACCAACTAACTATCTAATTGATGAGTTCTCTCTCACTAACCTGGCTAATTAACTAAACAACCAACTACCTTAACTAACTAACTTACTTACTTACTTCACTTAACTAACTAACTAACTAACTAACTAACTAACTAAATAACTAAATAACTAAACTAACTAACTAACTAACGAACGAA